CATGGCAAGAATAGAAATATACCAGGTAAGTATTCCCTCCACTACACTGCCCGGTGAATAGGAGTTCATTCAGAAATGGGATGAACAAAAGCAATGCATCTTAAGATGGACAAATCTTCTCTTGCCCAATTATCCTGGCAAGAAAGACATCAGAACACCTCTGTAGTATCTGTAGGTTTGGTGTGGTCTATGTAGAATTTCAGAGTCCCAGTGGGAAAGGGCAAGAGGCGATTTTGGAAATCCAGCACAGAGAAGGGGGAAGGGAGTTTTGTTGACACTCCAAAACAAAAGCTTCAGCTGTTTTGCCTACTTTACTCAAGGAAGTCTACGGGGATTTATGTGGCAATATCCATTGTCTCTTGATGGCAGGAGCGACAAACAAAGGATGAGGAAATACACCGTATGGAGCAGCCATAAAAGAGGGGAAAATATGACTGTAAGATACCTTAGCCTGACTGTGTAGAGTGGAACCCTCTTTGAATAAGCACCTGCACTCAGTTCAGCTCCTTCTCTTCCTCTTGCAGGCTCACATGATGTGGAGTGTGGAGAGTGGAAAAGACTAGTCTTCTTAAGACAGGGTGTACCACACCATTTGGGACAGGTTTTGTTGAGGTGATCTGCTTAAAAGTTTTAAATCCAGTCACCCTAATCCACTTAACAAATTCCTGATGGATGTTTCCACTTCTGTAACAGGAGGGGAACCAACCTGCCAACCTAGCAGGTCGAAAGCAAGAAATTGCAAGTAGATAAATAGGTACCACTTCAGTGGGAAGGTAACAGCGTTCCGTGCGCCTTGGTGTTTAGTCATGCCGGCCACATGACCACGGAAACGTCTTCGGACAGCGCTGGCTCTTCGGCTTTGAAACGGAGATGAGCACCGCAACCCTAGAGTCGGATTCGACTGGCTTTCGAGCAAGGGAACCTTTACCTTTACCTTAACAGGAGGGGAGGGCAGCTTTGTGCTCTGACTCACTGCATGTTGCACTATCTCCAAGCAGACCCTGGAGGCAAACTTAGAGACAAGAAGCACACTAAAATGGATGCCTCTGGGTCCTGCCCTCCTGACAGATGGATTCCATCTCCTGAAGTGCATCTTTCACTAGGTATTGCTGGTTAATCCAAATATCCTCCCTCTCCAATCACAAGACACAGGGAGGAAAAAAGGTGCCACCTCAGCACTGTGTGAAGTAATCACTACAGAGGCAGATGCCTGTATCTTCTAGTGGTCCCTTTAACCTAAACAGAGGGAGTGAGACACACACACAAAAAATCTCTTTTTTAAAAGTACCAAAGCCTCCTTCCCAGTGAGGGAAAAGACCTTTCCTTTCTTTTTTTATGAACAGAGATACCTCTAAGCTTTAATAAAACCTTCCATCCGTTACTGTGGCAGGAAGCTGGCTGAATGTTAAAAGGAAAAGTTTCTACTCCCAGTCAAATCAAATTTGCTCTGCCTTCTGGGCCCAGGAAGCAGTATCTATCCCATAACTGAACTCCTATTTACAAGGGATGAAAAGAAACCCAAGCCATATTACAGCAATGTTTAAGCCCCTGTAATACAGCAACAAGACAAGTACCAATAGAGGCTCTTCATCACTGCATATTTCATCTCACACTAAAGAGTACAAATAAATCTGTAATCTCATATGAGATGAGATTTCACATTAAATGACTACTCCATCTTATAAAGTACAGCATAGCTTGAGGAGTCCCTCAGCAGACAGCTGCATTCCTTTTTGACACTTCTTGTCTTCTTTATCTTTCCATTTTTACTATTCTGTTACCATTTGCTAATTCTTTTGAAATTTTAAATTTTTTATTCTTCAAATTGTGTGTGTGTGTGTTATTCTGCTTTTCCACCGCTAAAAAGGAACATACACCACAGTTAATTCGGAGAGCATCTGACTGGCACCTGTCAATAACATGTAAATGTCTCCTTTCTGAGTTGCCTATCAGAATATTTATTTACAACATCTATATCCCACCTTCCTGCCCACATCAGGGCCACCAGATTTAAAAAAAAACATACAAAAATCCCCCCAAACCCTAAAACCATTAAAACTGAATAAAAACATAATTAAAACAATTAAAACCAAACTTAAAAAGCACATACAAAAACAACAATTAAAACATAGGGAAGGAAGATGGGATCACTGAGGGAATCCCAGAAAAGCCAAGTCTTCATTTATTGGTGGAAGACAGCAGCAAAAGACAGATAAGTCTCCCTTGGTCGAGAATTCCAGAGTTTTTGGTGACACATCCAAAAAGGTCCTTTCCCGGGTTCCCACCCACCTAACCTGAGAAGGTGGAGGCACCCAGTACAGGGCCTCGGAAGAGGACTACAGTGGTTAGGTAGGTTCATAAGGGAGTAGGTGGACCTTCACATATGTTGATCTCAAGCCACAGAGGGTTTAAAGATCCACACCAGCACCTTGAATTGTGCTTATAAACAGGCTGGGAGCCGATGTAGATGGGGCAGGATTGGAGAGATCTGGTCCCTACAACCCACTCCCATCAACATCCTTGTTATAGTAGTTTCCTACCCACTTAATACTCCTAAGGATTTAGTAAAATGAATTCTCTTTAAACTCGTTTCCAGCAACTTTGTTCATTTAAAGCTAATGAGTATCTTATGCCTGCAACAAAAAAGCTATCTAGATGTCATTAAAAAAAAAAAGATTTATTCTTTGTCTTAATTCTTGCTAACTTTTCAATGATACCAATCCTCAAGAACAGCAAACCATATTACACCTTCCTCATGCATAGAAGTGTCCTCAGGTTCTCCTTTCAACATTCAGGCATAGTTTCATTACCAAACATCACTAAAGCAATTTATACATCTTGCCTAGAATTCAAAAATGTTTTTCAAAAATACTTGTCCACCATTTATTTTCAGACTACATAAACTGAAAGCTGATTCTGATGGCATTTACCTGAAATATGACACCTGCCCACTGTTCAAAATCCTGCACTGTCTTTACCAATATCACAGTCTCGTCTTTCAGATACTTCAATAAATTCTTAATGTAACTGAAATGGTTTACATTACGGATGTGGTTGACACAATCATGCAATCAAACTGCTTGTCTGGTCTGCTCTTTACACTGCTTAATTGCATTAAGTATTTTACGAAAAGCTGGGCTGTACTTTATATGCTTGCCATGCGAGCAACTCAGCTCCATCTGTTAAGAATTCAGAAGGCAACCTCCACCTACAGGCAGAGATAACTGCAGAAAATAATATCACACACAGAGGGAATGAAAACCTACTGTCTGCCTTTCTCAAACCACTGTTTATCTCCAAAACTTAACAACTAATTTACACTGGGAATCAGGAGAGGGGAGAGGCTGTGACTCAATGGTAGAGGATCTTCTTGCCATGTAGAAGGTCCCAGATTAATCGCTATCATCTCCAGTTTAAACAGGATCAAGTTGCAAGGCAGGGGTGTCAAAGATACGGCTTGCAGGGAAGAAGAGAGACACAGAAAGGGGGGGAAATGGCATCTCATGGGACTTTTCAGAAGACCAGCAATGTTTTATTTCAGGTATAACCACACTTTTTCTTCAGGAGGGAGGGGGAGGGAGGGAGCCAGCCAGCCACTGGGAGCATGCTAGAAAAAGAGAGTCCTGTGTTTAGACCAATTTTTTTTAAATTCCAGGTATTTTGGGGGGAGGGGGAAGTCCTATGTTTAAGACCACAAATGCTGTATTCCAGGTGTGTGTGTGTATATAAATGTATATGTATTGTGTGTGTATGTATGTATATATATATGTGTGTGTGTGTGTATATATATATATGAGAGAGACAGACAGACAGACACCGACCATCCCATGGCACTTGGAGAGATCCCCCTTTCCATTTCTAAGAGATGGGATGAGGGAGAAACCTAACAACACAGCTTGCATTCCTTATTAGTGAAAGGGAGCAAGAGTACAGCAGCACCTTAATGACTAACAAAATTTGTGGCAGGGCATGAGCTTTCATAAATCACTGCTCACTTCATCAGATAGAGCTGGAATGTGAATCCATCTGTCCTTGTATCTTGGAGAGTGCAGTGATTTCAGATGCCAAAAGACAAGAGCAGGCATTGGTAATGAGAGAAGAAACCTAGGTCTCAATTCAGTCCACGAGTTTGCATTGTCTTGAGCTTCATGATCAGTTGCAGTTCAGCAGTCTCTCTTTCTAATCTCCCTTTGAAATTCCTTTGTCAGAGAACTGCTACTCTTAGGTCAGCAACTGAATGCCCTGGAAGGTTAAAATGTTGCCCCACAGGTTTCTGAATGTTGTAGTTTCTAATAGTAGTAGAAAGAGTAAGAGTCCAGTAGCAACTTTAAAGACTAACAAGACTGTGGTAGGGTATGTGCTTTTGTGAGTCACTGCTCACTTCTTCACACTTATTTCCATTTATTCTTTGCATCCTCCTGGACTGAATCCTCCTGACCAAATTGAGACCTGGGTTTCCTGTCCCATTACCAATGCTGATATCTCCACCCCTCTGCATATCACACCTAATCCAATCACACCTGCTATTGCCATTCAGCATCTGAAATCATCTTTATGAAGTTTATATCTCCGGTACCAATGTGTTACATTTTATGGCACACATGGCCCAGCCTGACAAAGTGATATTTATGTCAGATCCGGCCCTCTGTTGTTAAGGGGATGTGAGAGACCTCTAGCTGAGAACTCGGAGCGCTGCTGTCAGTCTGAGTAGACAGTACTGACTGATGGACCAGTGGTCTAATTCAGCAGAAGGTAATTTCACGTGTTCAAGGGACAGGATCAGGGAAATCAGTTACTAAAGAGACAGAAGTGGAGATAACAGATGGAGAAAAGCACTCAGTGGCTCCTTTCTCTGCACACTGACAAAGAACCTTCGGAGTTCTCAACAGGCGCGCTGGGCCTAGCTATAAAAAAGCGACATTAAACAATAAGCTAAGGCAGCCTCATGTACAGAAAACAACAAAAAGGGAAGGCTCCCTTTTCTCACTGATACCTCTTACCTGTTCAGCAAGAAGTTGCCTCTGGCCCATGAGAAACTGTTTCTGTTGCTCCATTAATAAATGTTTTTGTTGCTGTTCCCTCTGTTTCTGCTGATCTAGTAGCATTTGGTGCTTCATTACAGCTGCTTGCTGCGGACTGTTGAGATAGGCTGTGCTGCCATGGTTACCTGCCATGGAAACATTCGGAGGCTGTGCATTCACCCCAGGGCCAGGAACAGAAACAGGAATGCGAGGAACATTAGCAGAAGAATTTTGATCCTATAAAAGCAGCAATAACAGGCAGAAAGTCAACCTAGACTTCAGTTTAGAAACCAATATTAAATCTATATGGTTCTCTGTTTCTGACTAACTCCCATCACAGAAAATCTATATTCAGAAAGTTGCTAGTTTTTCATCAAGGAGTGTTCAACACAGCTTTGATTGTGACTAAAATTTATTTTCGTCGTAGTGCTCTCTTTGTATGTTAGTAAAAAGTTTAAAAATTAGTTTAACCATAAGTCATGACCCATCTTTCCATATATAAAGATTACCACAAATACTGTCTTCATAGGATACAGCATGTTTAAACTACTTCTAACTACTTTCCATGCAACTAATGACATTTCAAAGTCAATTCAAATAGAACTGCCTACAAAAATATCTCCTTAAAATGTTATTTAATTACACCAATGCTTAACTAATTTCAAATAATTTTGTATCTGTTTTTAAAGCAATTCAGTCACAGACTGATGACCGTGCAATAGGCATTGTATATCAGGAATAGTCAATTGTGGAAGTATCTTGAGTTTGTGGTCATCTTTGTTGCCCTCTGTAAACACATTTCACCATACAACTAGTCTACATTTCTGCTCCACATATTTACCTCTCACCAATTTACTACAGCCAATGTGCTACACTAGGCAATTTACCTGGCTATGTGGTACTAGAGGTCTGTAGGCCATATTTCCAGACTTCTGCTTCATTACAAATATTGCATTCTGCTCTTCATTCATATGAGGCAGTGGAGCCTGTTGACGCTGCTGCATATAGGCCAACATAGGAGTCTTGTTCTGTGCAGGCACTGTAGCCCCCTGCACGCATTCTTTGTAATGTGAAAGAGGTTTTGTGTTCCCATAGTCCAATACAGAGCTTTGACTAGGTACAGAGTTCTGGTTTAAACTGTTTGGCTGATGGCTTAGAATACTTCCAGAGTGATAATTGCCTCCTGCCCTGGGAGAACTCTTGTTTGGCATATTAGACATCATGAGTTTCTGGTTACTGAAGTCCTGTTGGTAAACTGAAGGGCTAGTAGGATTTTCCATACTATATGGGACAGCTAATGGACTATGAGAAGGTCCAGATTGCTGCCAACTGGAAATCTGACTGGGCTGGTGAACTTGCTGTTGGTTCTGCAACAACTGATCTCTCTTCTGCTTGGCAGCTATCTGCTGAAGCTGTTGAGCAGATGACATGTCTTTGGCACTTCCTGTATTCTGTCCAGGTACTACAGAATTAGGTAGAGGCCTCTGCACATTCTGAGACTGGTTTGATGGCTGCATCATGGATTGATGATTAGGATTTTCAGTCACTGACTGATTGGATGGCTGAAACATATTCTGAGAATTACCAACCACTGGAGAAGCAGCACTAACAGGCACAGAAGAGTTTCCAATAAAGGCTGTGCCAGAGGAATTAGATCTGACTTGTGGAGACCCCATCTGCTCTTGCTCAAAATCTGCTGGAGAAAATTCAGTCTTAACAATGATGTCTTGTGGCAATGGAGTTTGTGCTGCTGAATTTGAAGCATCAACATCTTTCTTCTCCTCAAAGTCCTCTGTAAAGAGATCTTTCATGTCTTCATCTGGCACTGACCTATTAAGTTCATCAATGAGCTCCTTCCACTCTTGCTCATTAAGGTTAAGATCAGACATCAAGTTGTTCTGAGATATAGAACTTCCTGCTCCAGGAATCATACAAGGAAGGTCATCTGGTTCTTGTTTGAGCTCCTTGTTCAAAGCCATACTAAAGGAATCATCAGCATCACTGCTTCCATTCAGCTGTAGATTAGAGTCCCGCAGACACTTTTTGCTGATGCCATCTAGCCCCAGGGAATGTTTTCCATTAAGCTGCAAAGCGTCTCCACTGGAAGATTTGCTGTCCAGCTGGTGCAGTGGAGATATAGGAGGAAGTCCATTGGAGGAGCCGCTCAAACCACCAATGCCATCATCATGACGCAGTTTCTTGGGCACAGAAAACATCTCCCCATAGCCATTCTGCTGGTCACCATTCTGCGGGGAAACAGAACTATCAAGTTTCCTTTTCACTGTCTCGTGAAGCTGCTGAAATAGAAACAATTTAAAATTAATTTTTTTAGTTATACTATGCAAATAGAACAATTTAGCAACATGTAGACTTATTTTTAAAGCTAAAACTCAACTGCAGCCTTAAAAGCATTACTGAATGCTTTATCTTTAGCAAATCTCAACTCTATTTGTAACCTTTCCCACCAACCTATATTTATTTCTTGTTCTTTAAATTTTCCTGTTGGTTTTAATTCATTTTCCTTGTCTAATAAATCTTCACATCTCAACAGCATGCTTTTTTTGAAAAGGTTAGGATTTGTAAATGCTTCAAGTGGTGAAACCGATTTGGGTGTCTTGGTATAAAACGTTTTTTTAGCATTTTCCCATACCTTCAATAAGGATTTTCTAATCATGTGTTTAAAATATTTATGAGAATCTGATTTTCCATACCACATATAGGTGTGCCAAACCAATACAAGGTCATGTCCTATGTTCCCTCTAAGCTGTGGAGTCTTGTGAGCAAAAAGTCTACTTTGTGAGCTGCTGGCATTAAAGTTGTGAGCAAGCAATTTGGCTACTGCATAAATTAGTTTGCTCTGGAACACTTCTTCCTGGGCTAAGACAAAAATGTGTGAGCCGGAGGCTAAAAAACTGTGAGCTAGCTCACACTAACTCAGCTTAGAGGGAACATTGGTCATGTCCCTCTAAAGTTAAAAGTCTAATAATATCCACTCTTTTATCCAAACCAATGCTGCCACTCTATAATATAAAAGTCAATCTGAAATAGCAAATCCAGCTCTTTCTTTGGCATCTTGTAAATTTTTCATCTTTATTCTTGGTTTTTTATTTTGCCATAAAAATTGTGATATGGCTTTCTCCAGTTCTTTGAAGTACTGTTGATTTTGTAGTATTGGTATTGTTTGAAATAAAAAGATCAGCCTGGGAAGACTATTCATCTTAATTGTGGCTACTTTACCCCATCAAAGATATTTGTAGATTTTCCCACTTTTGTAAGTCCTTTTTAATTTTTGTCATGAGTTCTGTATAATTCAAAGAGCTGCATCTGTTTGTCATTTTTATTCCCAAATATTTCACTTTTTTGTGTGATTCAAATCCTGATTCCTCTTGCAATTGTTTCACTTGATTCTTAGTCATATTTTTGTTAACATTTTTGTCTTATTTAAATTAATCTTCAATCCAGCCACCCTAACATAATTTAACAATGTGGTTAATAACTTTGTAATTGAACTCAATGGTTTCTCTAGAATAAATACCAAGTCATTCGCGAATGTCTGTAATTTATATTCTTCTCCTCTTATTTTAACTCCTCTGATGGTTCTGTCCTCTCTGATCATATTGTTGAGTATGTTACATGCTGATGATAAATTGATAAATTGATTATATGCTGATGATAAATTGTATATATTAATGTTAGAAGATAAAACACAAGATGAAATAGTGAAGAATTGTATGGATAAATGGGCACAAAAACTGGGACATAATATTGAATTAGACCAATGGTTAAGGGCGTGGAAAACTAACATAAAGATTACTAAAGCAACTTCTTATAAAGAAAATATATATAAGATGTTTTATAGATGGTATATGACTCCAGATAAATTAGCTAAGATTTATCCTGAATTACCAACTGATTGTTGGAAATGTCATAATAATGTTGGTTCATTTTTTCATATGTGGTGGTTATGTGAGAAAAGTTAAAAATATTGGTCTTGGATACATGAATTCTTACAAAAAATGCTGAAAATTACTGTGCCTTATGTACCAGAACTGTTTTTGTTGAATATAATTCCAGAAAACTATAAAAGACAAGACTTTTATCTTATTATACATATCCTAAATGCAGCAAGGATGTATTGCAGAAGAATGGAAATACCTACAAAAGAAGACGTTATAGCCAAAATATTTGAAACTACTGAAATGGACAAATTGACTATGATATTAAGAGGAAATAATAAAGAAGACTTTGAAAACACTTGGTCAAGATTTTATGATTGGATAGAAGAAAATAATAACTAAAATTCCTGGACCTCTAACCAAAACAAAAATAATCAAGGAACTAAGAATCAGAGATGTAACTATCAATAAAATATAATTGTATGGTGGGAAAAAATAATAATGACTTCTAGGATATAATAAGATATCAAAAATAATGGTTAAAATGATATAGCCAGAATCTCCCTTTTATGTGTATTTATGTATGTTTGGTTTTTTCTGTTCACTTTATATAATTGAAATAAAAATACATGTTAAAAAAGCCATTACTGAATGTATGGCTGCTTCCCTCCCATCCTGCTCTGCCTGGCTGTCATTTCCATTCTTCATTACTAGGGAGACTATGTGGTATATTAAATTCACTTAATTTTAAAGGGCTATCTGCTGTCTGAAGCTATAACAGAGTGGTACACAATATGTAGTGCCCATAGTGCTTTGAATATAGTGGTTTGAATTTTGGTTGAATATAGGGCAAAAATGTAAAGCCCGTGGATTTATGCTCCTCCCTATCCTCAAAAAGTTTCCAGTTCTACTATAAGGCTAAAAAAAAATCCAATATGGCATGGATCCTGCCTAGAATTTCCACAGGCATAAAAGTGGGGTGATTTTCGGACTCTCTCCCCCAAAAGAAACCACTGACCCTAAGCTATTTCAAGGGAACCCACTTGTCCCCTGGAAGACAGTTTTGAGGAGAAGGAAACTGGTGAAAACTGCCCTCCCCTCCTTGTGCCCATGGAAGTTATAGGTGGGATCCAAGCCCATATATAGAGCAGCCACAGCACTGCTAATGTAGCACAGCACATTTGAGTTCTCAGTGCAAAGAACAAGCTGCATATTGTACCTGTGCAGTTTATCAATGAGGTGCTCATCTGAGGATAAATGTGACTCATCCTGCCAAGCAGCAAACTACACAGCATCCCAAACTATCAGACAATTTATTAGACTATAATTTGGAGTTCCAAAAATATAATCCTTCACCCCCATCACTTTTGGAACTGTCCATTCTCTTCTGCTGATGTAGCTGTTGATTCCTGAAGGAGGGAGATGCATCTTAGTCTGGTGTCTCAGCCAGGCACATAGCTAGAGTGGGGCATTTGTGGGGGTGGGCCATCACCGATGAGCCCTGCCCCACCACAGGAGGATGGTAAACACATCCCAAGACGCCCCCACCCCCAGTGCCCCTTGCAGCTGACTTCAGCTGCAGACCTGATCTCTATCTCTCTCCCCCTTTCCTGTCCCCCCCTCAAAATTTTCTGGCTACCGCCCTGGTCTCAGCTGGAGTGACCCTGCTAGGGGGTTAGCCTCTTGACTATACTTCTTACGATATAGCTCTCACCTTCACTCACACACACACACACACCCCTTCACCATGTTAAGGTGTGCATCCAAGAGGATTTTTATTCTGTATATGGGAATTATCTATGCTGGTGTCAATTATACAGTTCAAATTCCCTGCCAGAATTATAGTATCTCTCTGCATCTAGATCTTCTATTAGTTTTTTAAATAATATGCTTAAACTCCTGTATGGTTAATAAATACATTGCAAGAGAATTCCACATCATTTTTTCAGCCTTTAATAAAAATATAGCATCCATCCTGATCCTTTTTGATCTTCAAAGTAGCCAACAGCTACTTGTTTACAAATACCGATCATCATCCTTTTATTTTTGGGATCTACTGAGGCATGAAAGATTTGTCCACTAAAACTGAGCGCAAATACTTCTCATAGCCCTTTTAAATACATATTTCTTGCACACATAAGATATGTAGTATATCCTTCCATATTGTTTATCCAATTGTCTTTTAATGGGGCTGTTTAAACTGTTCGCATTTATTGAGAAGTTTCACGCTCATTTTATTTCAAATCTTTATTGTGAGTTTTGAAAGAAACCACCTCCAACTACAACAGAGAACTAGATTAGAAACCTTCCAAATCAAAGAATGTTATGCACCAGAGTAGAGACATTCAATGCAATTTGGCAATGGCTTCTAGTTCCCTTTTTTTCTTTACTTACTGTTTTATTTGCCCATTGAGTTTTTACTGCCACTGCAGATCAGTTATAGTCACTTGGGGGAGACATTTACTGTGAGGTAAAAGGTATCAAATGCAAAGGCCCATGATTCTTCTGTTTCAGATTTTCTGGGCCACACACAATGCTGGCCTACTATTCTCAATTTGTGCAAGCAGCTTTTATTATGTATCTTCATATGATTAGTCTTACCTAATTCTCAGAGCAATTACATTGTGTAATTCCTGCTATGTTTGTTAGAGCAGACAAGCACTGTCTTACTGTATAGTGCCCTCTAGAAGTAATTACAGGAAACTACATCGATTTCTATTTAAATTTATTAGCACAAAACAACCACTTGTTCCTTAGCTTTGAAAGTAAAGCATAAATACATAAAACCTCTTCTATGATGTACCTGTTACAAATAAGAACATTCTACTCAAAATGTTTATCCTGGGATCTTAGATTTTTAAATGCTAGTAAAAACTTCAGCATAGACATTCAGCTAAAAACCATTTTGCACCAACTCTGTGAAAAGAAGAATATGTTGTCTCCTTTGCAAACCCATCTATAAAAAGTAGCACTGATGACAGAGCCACATGTCATTTTTACCACTGGCAGGTAAAAATAACTTTTGGTATGAAATATCTCACTGAAGCATGACTCAGCATTACATGAACCAGTCCTCTGCCACCTCCATCCACTGCATTCTTGGAATCTATCAGCAGTTTTGACCTTAGCACAAAGCAAAATTTGCCAAATAAGTACACTATGGTATGCATTTATTTATTTATTTATTCTTCAAATTTCTATCCCGCCCTCCCAGCCGAGGCCGGCTCAGGGCGGCTTACATAAAATCAACATACAATTACAATAAAACAATTGAACCATCTAAAACAGTACTAAAACCAGTAAGCAATTTCATAATAAGTGCTAATTTTGTTGTTGTTTCCCTCCAAACCAGACTGCTTTAGATAGATAACAAACTGCGGCCTGAATTAAAGTGAAAATCA